TACGTTTACGATAGAAAACGTTGTTTTTCTTTAAAATACAATGCACTGTGGACTTTGAAACTTCGAATTTTCGTGATAATCGTCGTGTTGATTGACCAATCTTGTTTTTTGCACTTGACAGCAGACTTTTCGTTGTTCTGACACTTAGTTTCAGAGGTGCGCACTGGGGGGGATTCAGGGTTTTACCCCCCACCTAGCTTGGTCACGTCCGGATTTCCGGGTCTAACTTTACCCCCCTCAAAATTTTATCACGTCCGGATTTCCCTCCCCCAATGATTCAAGTACATTTTCTAAATACACATTTTTGTGTATATTCATTACAAAATTGCTTTGTTTTTTTCATTTTCTGGCTAGTTTTGTAAAAAACTATCATTTTTTGAGATAATCGAAAGTACGTCATATTATTGAAACTCATTCATTATCATTTTCGTTCTCAGTCAAATCGAAAGTCAATCTTAATACAAGCGGTTTCAGGTTTTCGGAAGAAAATCCGGATTGACCTCCCCCAAGAATTGTTTATTTTCTTGACCCCCCCCCCTTCCGAAAATCCGAAATTTGACAGCTATACCCCCCCCCCCCCAAAAAAATCACGTGCGCACCTCTGCTTAGTTTTGGTGGACGACCAGATTTCTTTTTGTTTTCCGGTTCCTTACCTTCCCGCCAATCCTTTGAAACACGAAATATCGTTCGAGGTGAGATTGGCTTGTCTTTAAACACTCGAAGAATTTCTTTTGTACTTAGTCTGCCAAAACAATTTGCGATAGACTTTCGTAAATCCAATTTGTACGACATTGCGAATGATTGTATTATGTCGGATTGGGTTTGACAGTAGTTCGGAGGTACCGATAAATGCACTGCGTGCGTTGGTTGACATTTTTCAATTTTTTATTGCTGCGTAATAAACGTCTGAATTTACTGCCAAAACTTTATGGACATATGTTAAGGCGAAGTGAACATCCAATTTTTGCCACTATTTGAAATTTTTTTGTTACATATTTTGCTGATTCCTAACGATCGTGTCTAAATCTATTGTTTTAGTTCAAATTTGGATGTGCTGTAACCATAAGAACCAACAAAAAATGAATTTTTGCTTGAGCAACCCGGTGTTCGATACTTGATGACAATTTTGAAGGGTTTGAGCATTTAAATTGGGAATACGACCGTATTTTTTGCATTCTCTAGAATCCTCATCTTCATACTAAGTCCATGAAACACGATACATGCTTCGAAGTAAGATTAGTTCATCTTTGGACACATGCAGAATTTCGTTTGTTTTTAGCTGTCCAAAACAGTTTGAGACAGACTTGCGCAAATCCAATTTGTACGACATTCTTATTGGGTGCATTTCGTCGGTTTGTGTTTGTCAGTAGTCTCGAGGTACCGATAAATGCACTACGTGCATTGGTTGACATTTTTGAGTTTTTAAATGCTGCGCAATAAATGTCTATAAGTTGTGCCAAAACTTATGCAGGATATGTTATTGAATACTTTATATATATGTAATATTAAAGTGCATTGCCGGAATAATAAACATCGGAACTATATGTTATATAGTCCGATTTCAAAAATGAAACTTGCACCTAATGGGGTCGCCTCAACTGTAGCGGATTATGATATGTTTTTATATATTTAGTGCACACTTTTTCGGCTGTTATTTGTGCCACCTGAGTTTTCGGTTTTAACTATTCTGGCATGCATACACACAGGTTTGGTTGTTGTGCTTCTTCGATAGAAACTTTAAAATCAATCACCAAAAGGTGTGCTCTTCCGACAAAAGAGCATGACCGATCTTTTTATATAATCTCTTTAAAGAGTTCATTTGCCTCGATACCATAGATGACAGAACATCTACGACTATAATGTCATTTACTTTGCCGTTTATGTGTCACTCTTGCTTGTGTTTTATTCATTTCATCGATCGCAAATCAATTGCACAAAATGAAAATAATAATACACTGCCAATGTATATACTTGGAAGTAATGCTTGATGTATCGATATAGAAACAAATGAAGTTTAAGGTGTCCGCAGAAAAACTAACCAATTTTATCAAAATTGTATAATTTGAATTCGAGTTATATCGACTTTTGTTTGAAAATTCATAAAAATACATCTAAATGTGGTAGTTTTCTGTACTAGAGCTACTTGCCATAAGGTCTATTGGGTAATGGGTATGTTTTTTTTTTGAAAGAACATCTAAAGAGCTACAAACTGAGTGATTTTAAAATTTAATATTTTTAATCAAAATCGTAGAACTTAAACCTGGGCGAAAAAAGAAATAAAATATATTATCTGTGCAGTGCACTCAGGAAACCGAAAAAATTGGATTCAAGTTGATAGCTGTTACAATACAAGAATCAAAAACGATTTTAAAACTTGATTTGCAACACATTGTGTCCATGGCGAATATATTCTCGTTTCCGTGTACGACTATGTACGAATGGAATTATGAACAGACACGACAGAAAAATCACTCATAATTTATATATATATACACACATAAAACATATACACACAAAAATCAAAGTGAAAAAAGAACGTTTTTCCTTTGGAATTATACATTTTTTAGTAGGCACTTTATTCGGTGCTTGCAAACAATATAGTTGAATGTAATGCGGGGAAGAAAACAGAATTCTTATCAAAAATGACAATCGGTCATTGATTTTATTTTCATCACATAGTCGCCATTAATTAGAATAAAAATAATAATTGTGTGGGGATTCAAAAACGTCAATGTATGAATATTTAAAAAAAACATGATTACCCCATGTGTTTTATATGAGTTAATAAGTACATGACAGATCTCTGATTTACAGGTGAGCAATTGCAACTCATGGTTGCCATTGTATTTGAACGAAACCGTTATCTTTCGATCCTGGTTTTACAAAGAGAAAATTTATCGCATAATTTGTTTGACGCACACTTATTTACATACATGTCGTTGTTTGATATTATTCTCTCTTTCTTTTGCTTCCTTTTTATTCAACACAGTACAGTTGTATTAATTCGATTTTTCGAATAGTGCACTTCAAGAATACCAATAGAAAAATATATGTAATTGTAATCATCATACAGGGGAATAATTTCAATGGGAAACCGATTTGTTTAAACATTTTACCGCTGTTAAAGGCCGTAGTACATTTATTATTTATACACAAGAAGTCATTATTACATCCATTATCAAAATCCAAAACCACAAATCGAGATATAATGTAGGTTAAATCGTTCTCTCTTTCTCTCTCTCTAGCCTTTCAAATACATAGCAATTTGGAATGGTATATTGCTTCACAATCAAAAATTCTGGAAAAATTGAAAAAACAACAAGTTGTTATGAAAACAGATTCTATTCAACAACTTTTTTTCTCTCTCGCTTTACCTTACTTAATCCATTAACGACATTGAAAGTTTTCTATTTCTTGCTAATTTCAATGAACAATTATAAAGTAATTAAAAAATAAAATTCCATACTCTTTTTTTACTCAAAAATTTTGTGCATTAGTCGAACTTTTCTCGGTTGTTTTTGAAATTTACTTAGTTCAAATAAAGGTTAGTTAAAAAAATCCATTAAAAAAAATATACGCAAAATGAAACTATAATTGGACATGCACATACGCTCTTGTTGAGCTAACTTGTGCACACCAACTGAACTTGCACAGATAGTCGCCTTATATATATTGCATATTGCAGAAACTTTTTGACGTTGAATGGTTACCTACTCATTTTTAAATCAATCAAACGTTTCCAACATGGTATATTCACGTTCAAGCAAATATGCGAAAAATATCTTATTGAAATTGAATGTAGGTAACATTATATTTATCATTCTATTTTCTACATTAAACGTATAACCGCACAAATCGTTTCGCTCATGACCATTTATATGTTTGACATTCAACATTAGAAAGACAATAATAAGTCAACCTTTTCGAAATATTTAATTGCTTTTCATCGTTTGAACTCAAACGTTTTTTACACATACAAACACAGGCCACGGCTATTACAAAGACAAAGAGAAATTTTTTTTATTCCGTTTATGTTACATTGTATAAAATGAAGTGATACGATTCCCCTGTGATGTATTAACGATTTGCCACAATGCATATCTTACTATTATTGGGTCAACAAAGTCGATTGCAAATTGATTCATCGATGTTCTGGCGAAACAAAAAAACGCCTTTTGACCATAACATGTTTTGAAAAGTTTACAATGGATTTTATTTGACATAAAAAGACAATATATTTTCTAGAGAAATGAAGAAAGAGAGAGAGAGAGAGAGAGAGAGAGAGAGAGAGAGAGAGATAGAGAGAGGGAAAAATGGAAGAAAAAGAAATCACCATATAATTTCCCCCTACAATGAGATAAACGTCCAAATGACAAAAATTCTAACTTTCAAAAATGTAAAATTGAACCGTGTTAAGAATTAAGTGTTACAATACAAAATCCAATACAATCAATATCTTGCGTATTTGACGATGTGTCCCATCATTATTTTTATTTTTAAAAAATTCGATAATCTCAATACAACGCAATCGTTTTGCTTAAAGTTTTGGTAGTGCGCTGATATAATCAAATAGTTTGAATAATTCAATTCCGAAACACTATTGAACCCTTTAATTTGTGAGAAAATCGTGCATATCAAATGCTCTCACACCAAAAAAGAGCCACGTACTAGTGTGGCCAATATAGCAACTATCTCTTTTCGATTCAGGTTGGCCTCTGCATAAGCGAGAGCATAGATTTTCCTTCGTATTTGGCTCATATGGTTTATATAACTTTTAAATCATCTCAATAAACGTTGATAAAAGAAAAAAAAGAAGTAAACAAACAACAATTAACGAGCAGAATTGCAACCTTCAATTGAGAACTATATTAAATCGAAATCATTTCTTATAGTAAACATTTCTTTCTCCGTTTAGTTTATTAATAAGAAAAAAGAATAATAACACGAAACGTGTGTAATAGTTTTGAAAATTGTGCGGCTTAACTCATACATCAACTTACTTTTTCCGACTGTGATAGAGATCGGCTGTTCAATCATTTCGATTGTTGTTGTTGTTGGTCCGTTTTCACTTATTTCGTATACAAACTACCTTTTTTTTGTGGTTTTTTTATAACTCCGCTTAGTCTTTCGATTGCTTTGAGCGATTTAGTTGCGAATTGTGTATCGAATTTACTCTCAATGGCAACGTGTGTGCTCTGTTTTTTTATCTATTTTGTCGTTGCTTTCTTTCTTCATTTAAGTTAATTTATATTTATATCTAAGATTCTTAGTTCGCCTTCACTTTCTCTTTCTTAAATGCATATTGTCGGCTTTTTCCCCTTCAAAGTGCTTAAGATGCTTGAAAAGCAGTGTTTTGAGGTTTTTTATTATCTTCACCTTGGGCACAAATATTTACCAATAGAAAAAATTTATTCGACACATATGAATTGTCGGATAACGTGTAAATTTGTTCAAAACGCAAGTCTCTACATTCATTCGTGTCCGCCAAATTCGCTAAAACCATTAAAAACTATTTCGAATACATAATGGAAAATGCTATAAAATTATATTTTATAATCGCGGATTTAATGATATTCAAAAAAAAAAACAAACACATTTATTTGCATCACTTTAAGAGAATTGTGTATCTCTATTGTTAGTATGCATTTCAATATGGGATTTGGTCGAATGAACAGTTATACAAAAAAAAAATCATCATTCAATAAAACCGCGTAAGGATGTTAAATTGAAAAATTTGGGACACAATCAAAGAAGTGAGAAAAAAACGCACTATTCACTGCGAGACAGAGAGATTTAATGTGCGATGAACATCACACAACTGCGTTCATCACTGGTTTATCAAAGACTAGAGGCGGTTCCCAAAGCAACAACTATCGTGTTCACATTCACAGCTATGACGCTACTGCTTATACAATTGACTCCGTTATTATGTTTCTCTCATCTATACACCATAACAAAAATCGAACGCTCAGCTGTCTGAGGCATTTCTTTCTCACTCTATTTTTCGCTCTCTACCACAACAATGACAAAACAAGCGCACGCGTGTATTGGTATAGTGGTTAAAACGATACAAACACACAAATACACATGTGCAAGCGTGTGTTTGGTACACGCGCTCTCTTAAAATTGTACATTTGTACATGAGAGAAAACGGTGAGACGAGAAAGAGACAGAGAGTGAATTGTGGAGAATAAAAATAGTCTTGAATACTCAGCAAATGTGGCACATTCGATGCGTTTGTATGGTTTCATCTTACCTATACAATTGAAAGTGTATCATTCTCTACCGCTCTCAAACTTTGTCGTTCACTTCTTTTTCTCTTTCGATAGATTTGAAGAAAAAATGCCATCAACATCATCATGGCATCGCATATAGAGTCGCACAAAAGCTCAACATTTGAAGATTATTTGTTGCTCGACTGTTGCTCCACAGAGTGTTTTAGAGAGTTATACACAACTGAATTGGGATCAAGTTCATGATTGATGGTTTCAGCAATGATTAATTGAAATCAACCGTTATTTCATTTTCTTTTCGATAAATAACAACAATCTATTTTCGACTTTGTTTTATTTTACAAAACATGGCAAATAATCAAGAAAGACATTTTACTTGGAAATTGTTAAACTAGAATATATGTTTTTGCGTCGTTTTACTATTAATTAGTTATAAATGACATTATTTCTAAGAAAAAATCTCATTAATGTTCAAACGTAAAAAAATATCAAACAAATTCGAATGAAAAAATTGTGTCGATTTTTTGTAATCATAAATTATAATTGATGGAAATGTGTCGTTAAAATGACTTGAAGTATTATAGTTCTTTAGTCTCTTACAAATGTAAAATTAAAATTACAAAAAACCACTCGAGCTTTCATCGAAAGCTTAGCAAAAGCTCGGCGCGGTTAATAATTCGAATCAAAGCCCAACATAGAGTACACTAGTGCAATCTTTTGACCTGCACAAATTTAAATGACCGTGTACCATAAAATGCTTGTTCCTCCTTTTATGTTGCACTTATAATTATACATTATGGTCAAGAAGTATCCCATTAAAAATTGCAAATAAATGGAAATTTTTTCGATAAAGACTGTTTCTCAGGGCAATATATGTGAGGAGAACCGCTCTTCAAACTACGTAATAGAATAAGATAGTATCACGATGTTAGATATTTTTTTATCTTTTAATATTTTGCTCGTTACTTCGACTCCTCAGAGCGATCGATAAATGTGTTATTGTTACAGTTTTGATAGAAATACAGAAGTCCATTAATTCGAATAATTTTGTTTTCAAAAATTTCCTTCGAATTATCTGAGACCCAAAGGAAAATAACCAAGTGTGAAATGTTGTGAAATTCAAATGTGTGAATTCAATTTATCGGAGTCAGAATTTTATCATGAATTAAATAATATTCAGCCAGACGGTGAACAAATTATCATCTAATACATCCAAATGGATTCAATAATAAAAAAACAGTTCAAAATATTGTGAAAAAAAGTATGATGAACGTAGACGCGCTAAATACTTTCGCTGTAAATAATTTTAAGCAACTATTGAAGAAAAAAACAGATCTTCAGAAATATGCGAGTATGGAAAATGTATAAAGTAAATATGTTTTCTTCTTCTCTGAATTCCAACATCTTCGCTTTGACAATTCAAAACTTTTTAGTATATATATGGGAATCTTATTGAGGTAATTTCATTTCAACGATTTTCTTGAATCACTCGAAAAATTTGAACATTCATTAAAATGTTTGTTTTTCGTGGTATACTGTTCACAATTTCTGTGGCAATTTTCATTTCGTTAGTAATATTTCTTTTTAGTGAAAACACATTTGCGGGGGTTATACTGCTATTAAAATTACTTTTTTTATAGGCCAACAGCCTTTGCTGGTCAACGTTGCAAAAACAAAGGTCAAGCCAGGTTTGTATTGCACCTGTTGATACAGGTCACTTAGAATAATTACTTGCCTACGAATAAAATTTTAAAAAAATTCTAGTGTGCCAACAAAACCGGATCAATTGGTCGAAATCAACCAAAAAGATTTAAAACGTCTCCAGAATCTTTACAAACCGGATGGTTATAAACGATATATTACCTACACGACAATCGAAAACTACATTCGATGGCTTAAGCAAGATCCGAATCTGAAAGATGTCAAGTTTTTCTGTTTAAATGGTGATTTCACCGATGGAACTTTTGTTGTGACGGTTCAGTTAACTACCTTTGCAATCAATATAATTTGAAATCCCTCACATTTTTAACTAATCTTCTAGGACCGCAATGATATATATGCGGATACACTTTATGAATCTAATCATAGACTCCATCGTTTACTCTCGCTAATTAATTATTCTAATGGATGTATTTTTACGGGCATTCGAACTGATCTGAAACCGGTGATAATCGATGCTCTAAAAGAGGTAAATGTCAATATAGCTTTGGATCGCACATCATTGCTTTACTATTTGCCAAAAGAAGAAGCATTGAAATTCGATGTTGAGTGAGTATGCACGGACGTCATTTACTTGAAAATAGATAGAAATCGATGAAGTTTTCCGAAACAGGAGATTACCTGAAGGAATTGAACTGCGACAAATACGTGACATTCATGACATAGAAAAAGCAAACTCGGTGTGGCCCAATCGTAATCCGAATTCTCTGAGGTGTCTTCAACGAATGGCCAAATATAATCCACAAGTTGGAGCATACAAAGAAGATGGAACTCTGGCGGCTTGGTTATTTAGGTTCGAGACACAAGAAATGAACTTGCACTTGCATTTTTTTTTATTTTTGAATGAAATTTTTGTATATGGTTTACAGCTATTCCACGGGCTTCCTCGGTCCATTACAAGTCGATGAAAATTACTACGGTAAAGGATATGCCGGACTGGTAACGAAATATGTGGCCAAGAAAATTGCCGAAAATGGACATGATGCGTAAGCTAGTTTCTTTTCATCATTTGGTGATTATTTTAACTTATGTCTATTCTTTTCTTTCGTGACTCTTCCCTAGATATGCTAGTATTGTTGAAAAAAATGCACCATCTCGATCACTTTTTACCAAACTTGGCTTTAAATCCATTGGCGAAGTACAAAGAATTCAAACGGAAAGCAAGTTGTCAATTACAATGAGACCGCCCAACAAGATGTCAATTACAGCTCACGGAAGTTTGAAGAATGAAAATTTCTTTCCGTTACCGAGAGTTTTTTGGTAAATAGTCTATTATTTTGATTTGAGAAGATTTGAAAAGATTTTAATATTTTGAATGGTTTTTTTATTTCAAAGGCACGCCAGCTTGATTTGAGCCGATTCACATAAATTTAACATGATTTGAATTGTATCTACGCCCTTGTTTTACATTAAATACCAACCCCAAAATAATCTATATCTTACGCTCTTTGTTTAATTGTATGTACTATGTTGTACAAACTATGTACTTTGCGGTTGTTCAATCGCTGTATTTCAGTTAAATGGTATCTTGAACCGCACTTGATTGTTTCAGTTGTTGATACAACGATTGCTGTCTTCTTTTAGGCGCGTATGCTTTGATCGATTTGCAAAAAAATGTGATTCGTTTCTGCTTCGACAGCATTTTCGTCATCTAAACAGCAAAAAGTCTCAACCGTACTTTTCCTGCAAAGTGTCATAGGTTTGATAAACCATTGACAGAAAGCAAATAGAAATAAACCAAAGAATAAGATTGTTGGATTATTGGATTATTGGATTTGTGCAGGGAGTATACTAGGTCAACTTTTCAGTAAGATCCTTAGTTCTCGTTGCTCAGGTTTTTAACCTATTGCAAGACGCCCGCCTGTGTACAATGTACACGAATCAATAGTCTGATGTTTAGAAGATATTATTCAAGCTTGGATTTGAGTCACATGCCCTTTTATAGAAATTTAATATGTCAAAGATTAAGATTGTTATTTTGAAGTGTTTTTTTTCTTATTATTTTTTTATTTTTATCTTGCTGAGAGTTTTTTTTTGATGATTTACCAAAGTTTTTAAGATGGATTAGATACAGCCATGAATTTTACTTTATTGATTCAAGATCGTGAAATTTTTCAAATCGAAAAAAAAAAAATTAAAGACAGACCTCCGCCGCACTGCTGCTAAAATTGCACATTGCCCTATCGGAGTTTCACTTTGTAAAATGTGGGTCAGTGCAGTTTCATACCACATTTTACAAAAAAAAAACTTGCCACAAAAGTAAACCTCATCGTATCTTTTCGAGTCATGTTTAAAGTAAAGTACGACTTTTGGTTACAGCACGTGACAATGACAATGTCTCAAAACGTATATATTATGTCTCTTGGTGAATGAAGGACCCCTCACGTAATACTATATATCTTCTTTTATACAATAGTTTGGTTTAGAGTTCTGGAACAAATGGCAGCACGGAAAAGTCGAAGATGGGAAAAATGTACGAAATGTTGTCGATTTTTCGTTGTGATTGTGTTTATGAATACGCATCTTCAACTCCATGTACAATGTACACATATTGGTGAAATCATCGAAATTGGTAAATCAACAATTCGGTAAAGAAATACCAGATTTTTGTCGAATGTTTGCCACAGACAATTTTGTGATTTTCTTTTTTTCGGCATACCAACATTGACACCGAAACAACATTCCGAAACGGAATTGTTTGGTTAGCACCACTAAGCCATACCACTCACACAAACCAAATCTAAACACATCGAAATTCATTTTCAGCTCATAATTGTACCAAAAATAGGTGATGGCAAAAGAAAACAATAAAAATGAAAAGATTGTTCAGTGAGCAATCGAGTGGAATGTAATCAAAAAGGAAAATTCGAATTGCGAATTTCATTCATACTACAACTGTTACCAACACAAAAGAATTCCTATGATATGATAAAAAGAAGAGAAGCGAAAAAAATGCCGCACGCGTGCTTCATCATAAGACGTAAGATAGAAACAACACCATCCACTATAGATGCTCTTTCTTTGCTAAATCAATTCATCCATCTTTTCATCGGATTTGATTCGATTCACTTTGGCATGTTAAGTTGCTATGTTTGATATTACGCTCTGTCTCTCTCAAGCATTCGCCGCTTAGTTTTTATGCTTAAATAGTTGTCATGGCATTTTATTGGGTGGAATTTTATTTAAGAGCGAGAAAAAGAATATTCAAATGTGGTAGCAGAATCGAGTAGCGACAGAGAACATTTGATAGGCTATGTTTTGTTTCAAAGTGGTCCGTACACGTGTAGATCTTGGTCGACGTTTTGGCATTTCCTAATTCTGACGTCTACTAGGTTATTGACCGCCTCGTTTTCAAGTGACGATTTCTTTGTTCGATTAAATATTACTATCCTTTTTTCAATTTTTATTACGACATTCCGATATCGAACGCAATGTTTCACTTTAATATACATTTTACCGGCTATTCACTTCACCATTATAAAGAGTAATAAGTACCATTTTACAAGGGATACGTATACTTCAAATGTTCGTCGCCGTGAAAAGTTATATTTAATTTGATTTCGACATTTCTTTTTGGAAAATGTCGTTAAAGTGTATAAATTGTTGAAACCGAAAGTAATTTAAAATGTTTTATGGACAAAAACAGTTTAAAGAAGCTTTTTATCGCAAAAATAGTATACCGTTGAAGATTTCTGTGTGAATTATTAGAAAAGAAGCAAATCATCATGATTTCCGCAAATACTACGAAAGATGATAACACTGACAATGACACCAAAAATGATAACGATAGCAACGAAAATGGAGTGGAAAAGCCGGATTATTTGAATGTAGAATGTGATCGAAATTTAAATATACGATGTGTTAGGACAGACTTTGAGGTAATACATTTTTATGATATACATTATTTAATATAGACATTTGAACAAAAAAAAACAACCGATTTAAATGTGAAAAAACAACGATTTAATACTAATACTTTCAAGTCAAATAAATCAAAATAAAAAACTATCTCCGATGTTGAAAATGTAGATTTAGCAATCACAAAAATAAGATGAAATAAACAATGAACAATTGATTAAGAGCGATTGGTTTTGTGAGAAAAAAATGGAATGTTTTTGCGAATTCTCATGAAATAGTTTGCCTTAAGAACATTGAGTCAAGTGGTAAGCTGCGATTATCAAATTATGAGAGCTTCTTTCACTGTGTTCAATGCGTGCCAATTCACGGCCACGAAGTGTATGTATTATGCACCGACTTCAAATGTATGTCCAATAAATCACTCAAACAGGCCGAAACAGTTTTTCATGAAATTTCAAACGGCTCATCGGAATTAAGTTAGAATAAACTTTCTATGCGCCATTAAATTTCCGATTTTGCTCTCAATTGCAACTGACATTTAATATATTATACTGGCACCGTCGACAGCAGGATTAACGAAAGCTACATCAGAATTGATTATATATTAATCCGTTTGGCAAAAAGTTTTCATTGTACGCACAGTTTTTGTAGTGGGCGTTTCATCATCACGATGGCCACAAATATACAGTTTTTATTTCAAAAAATATTATTAACATATCTTAATATTAATAACGATGGCATTATCATCAAATCTATGAGATTGGGAACTTTTTTATGCGAACGCAGCTGATCAGCGCCATCTCACATTAGTTCGAACTAGATTGAAAAACTGAATTTAATTCTGTAGCATTGAAATGAAAAAGAGAAAAAACAACAACAATAGCTCGGCCACACAGAGCTGTACATCTATGCGTGCTGATGCATACATACACATATACGCTTTCTTCATTCTTTCATTCCATTGTTATACGTATCTCACTGGTCAACAGATCTATGTAGCCATGTTACTGTTGTTGTTTTTTTTTCTCTTTTTCGATTCAATTCATTGTAACTAAATTGAGTCCAACTATGGAATACAAGATGGCACAGATGAGGGGAATTCGCATTTTGTCTCTTCATAGGCTTAGCCGGTTGAGTAACATATATTTTTAATGTGGAAAAGGAACATATTCTTTTGAATAAAATCAAATCACATATATTTTTGTTCGGCAGCCAAACTTTAGATAAGGAACAGTATCTGAAACAGTTTCTCAGAGCAATAAATGTAAGAAGGAGCAGAATTATTCCACAGTGAGGGGCACATGGATTCAATCATGATATTTTCGTGCATCTAGTTTTTGATAAGATTTCACTAGAAAACTAGAAAATTCTAGTGCGTGAAGTTGGCTCTCAGTACCTAGTTTTTCATATAAATTATATGGCCTTTGGTGTGAAGTTGGCTTCGTTTGTGACGTCATTCTTCGCACTAGATTTACTAGTTTTTCTAGTATTCACTATCGTGATTCACCCTATGGAAACTTTTTATCAATCAAAATAAATTGGTTCCCAGAACAAAATCAAATATAGAAAAAACTATTATTTCGTTTTTAGAATTTGCGACGTATAAAATTATTTTCTTGAAAATTTTTCTATAGAGTTATTTTATTTATTTACTTCCCGGGAGTAATTTATTGACTCCCCAATTGACATAGTTGATTTTTTGACCCCCAAAAAAATAAATTGATGTGACTTGAATGAGATAAAATGAAAATGGTGATCAATGGTACCAATGGTAGGCACTAATTAAGCACTAAATCTTGGCACCAAAAGAGGATGATTTTTTCAACCCCCAAAAATTCGATGCCCAAAAACCCACCCCCAAATTAGGGGATGACGGGAAATTAAGTCCAATGGGAGGCACTAATTAAGCACTAAATCTTGGCATCATCAGTTTTTTTTAATATATTTTAAAATTTTGAAAAAAACTACCCCTAACCCCAAAACAAGATTTCAACATTTTAACATTTCCATTTCACCAAGTGGTGCACCAATTTTTATTTTTGTCGCACTAAATGGCACCAATTAACCACTAAATCCCTGTATAGGTTTAAAGTCGCGCACTAAAAAGTGTCCCCCTGGTGAGAATTCACTCATTTTTACGGTCTCTATTTTCACTTGTCGCAATTCAAGAACATTGAAAATTCTCCGAAAATTTGTGCATTTCGAATATTTACGAACAAGTTTTTGTCAATTTACATTACTTAACATTTTTAATATAAGTTTAAGTTCAAATTTATTGACAATTTGCTGCAATTGCAAAGTGTCAGAGAAGAATTGCTTTTATATATAAAAAGCATTTACTTTGACATTTACTGTCTCCAAATTTATTCCTTGTAAACCCTAGGGGCTTGATACGGCAAAAAAATTCACAGGAATTCACGTAAATTCACACTTTTGAATCGAGTGGTTATTGATGAGTTCGGTGAATTCGTGTGAATAGAATGAAATGTGTCAAATTAATAAAGTGAGGTTATGATAACCGCAATATTTTTTAATTTATTATTTTTTCAATATTTCCGATTGTTTTCGATAGAAAATCGCTCAA